AACTATAAAATATGCAATTTAAGGATTTTGAAAATACGTATAGAAATATAAAGTGCAAAATTTGGTGAACAAAGAAATATTTATTCAAACATGAGGAAAAGGAAAATATTATTATACAAATCTTAAAATCGTGTAACTCCATATGAAGGACTTTCTGTATGCGTGGGAGCTTGAGACAAACGAAACCCGCCAAGGCCTAAACCCGCTCAGGAGTGGTTTGGTGATCAGTTCCACACTGTACATCTGAAAGCTCATGACTCGAGAACCGTTGCCCCAAAATCGCACTCCGTTATAAAGTGACAGTCAAATCTCGTTATTCGATTGGAGTAGCTCATGAGTTGGCGGTGTGTGCTGTTCATTAGTTGACTTCCTTCTAGTCTATGACTTCAAAATTAGGGAGGGCTAGCATTGATAACCCCTGTGTAACTTTACGCAAATATCCAAAACGACTAAACAAAAAAAAACACAATAAGCTTTGTTGTTCTCTGTTTATTACTCCAGAGGGGAAAAGATAAAATTTTGTCGCAATTACATTTTCTTCATAGCAATTACATTCAAATCAATCTGGGGAAAATTTTCAAGATTACTTATACAGTTGTAGCTGCTTTTCCCTAGATGTTTATAAAATGTATAGAATAACAAGCAGATTTTTGTGTTTCCAAATCTCAAAAATACTTTTAGAGTAAGCTGCTCTAGTTCGGTTCTTGAAAACATCATACATACGTTAAAGAATCTAAGCATCATACATATGTTAAAGAATCTAAGCATCATACATATGCTAAATAATCTATGCTTTAAGGAGCTGCATCAACTGAAAACTTCTACTACTTGATAAATAGATCTATTATGCAAAACTATTGTGTTAAGTCATCAAACTGCTCATAATAATTTTGGGTTCCAGGTATACATAGAGATCTTTGTATTAATAGTACCTATATATATAGTTCGGCAAATCAATGACTTGCGAAAATCGGATGAGCTTAACATCTCAAAATACGGATATTTCATCTATCACTCGTTTTACATATGAAACTATACATTCTTCTGTGGCTAATTCGCAAGTGTGTGTCAGAGACCATTCGTTTAATTTTATATTTTCTGAAAATACACTTGCCTTAACCGTTTTCAAATATACACATTTTGTTCGGATATATTATATTCAACAATGTACTGCAGCGAATCCCACAATAGGTAGCATTGTTTTTCCTAATTAATATTCTGACATTATTGATAAAATGTTAGCTTGTTCGACTTCAGTCTATTCTAGAAAGAAGAACAACAATAGATGAACTTCTTTGTCGTTTTATGACTGTAATTGTGTGCAAAAACATGTAAACGAATTGCATACTATAAGCCATAACAAATACATTATAAATTAAGACATTCTAAAGCAGTACTATATCGAGTACAGGTTGTTATCGTAACGAAAGGTTGTCCATCCTGATGTTAGGTAAAGGCCCAAATTAAAGAACCAATCAGTGTAAAAGGTAAAAAGCTAATTTCACCATAGTGTTTTATTTTAAACAAACTTATACCACTAAAATATTACTATTAGTGAACTTAACATTCTGCTATTCCTAGATAATAATGATATTTTAATTCTGGGTTTCGTCTACGAATTTTTTGGTCTGGCATATAACCTAGACACTTTATAAGTTCATGATTTTATCAGTACAAAACAATATTATTTTTAAATGTTTGTTTAATTACACGTTTTTGTTTGAATAGAAAGCACAAATATCGGGTATTTTCAAAGACGTGTCACTCTTCTTTTGTAGAGTTTGTAACTTTTATTAATCAATAATTTCCAATTTGGGATGTGGGTTCTTTCTTAAAGTATGCTTAACTTGTTTTGCTACTCTATTACGTAATATTTAATATATATTGCTTAATTTCATTTGAAGCTTGATTTATGCAATATGTTCCACAAAAATGTACAGTTGTGTTAATGGTAAAAAATACTTATAATTATATTTCACTGTATAAAATATTTATTAATTGGTTGAGTTTATGACTTAATAGCCTCTACAAGAGCTGATGCATAGCCCAGTGTTTTCTTTAACAGTTTTATTCATGGTCATGTGACACTGCGTTTAAACGGGTTGATACAAATCTCACACCGTACATCAAAGTATTATTGCAACGTATTTTCTCTATTTATGTGTGAAACACTAATTTTTAGCACTTCTAGAATTACGATATCTGTTGCTTCTAATCTTAATAAAATCTCTTCATCGATTACATTTGCTACGTAGCTATTAATAATAGAATATTTCAGCAGTTCATGTAACAATAGTGAGCAGCTGAGTATTTTTCAGTTATTTTTTATGATTAACTTCAATTTATTTTTTAATTTCTATTTTTGCTGCAAATACTCCAACGTTTAACCTGGCCGCATAGAAACACAACAAGCAGAATTTATTATAGACTGTCTTGATCAGTTTAAGAAAATTTAAATCTTCAACTTAAATGAGTTTGTCGCCCTAACAGAAGCAATATTAAAGAAAAAACAAACTACTAGCTTGCTTATATCTTACGGTGTTCCTTTATTTTTCTTTAGTTGTTGGTGAAAATTTTATTGTACCAATGGTACATATCATTGACCGAGACTGCATATTATAGAGACTCTCTGAAATATGCAATATCTTGTATTTCTCTTGTCTATATTGTTTTCTTCAGTGGTGACTATGGGAGAAACGATCTAAAACACTATGATTGATTGAAATGTTGATGTCTGTTAGGCTTTCTATTGTCAGGAAGTTCGGAACATTTCGTCTTGTTAACAAATAGCTGTAACCTACAGCCGTGACATTAGTCGTCAGCTAGAGGTTGTGATGGATGGACTGATCTAGTATGTGCAGGAAACTAGTTTTGTATCTCCAGGTTTTCTGGAAAATTGTATCTGTCTTACACCTTAGCATTGTGATTAGATTATACACCTAACATGACATGTTGACTAAAAAAAAAGATGTACTGGGTATTCTCGAATTGTTATCGTTTTTAAAAGTGTCTTTTCCTCGATGCACATGCGCTAAACAATGTGAATAACACAATTAAAGATGAAAACAAGATAAATAAAGAAAACTGGAAATTTAAAAACCTGCAATTATGGATCGTAAAAAGTAAGCTAACTAGGCTGGAGATATTGTAGATATTATTTACTCAAACTATAAACCCCTATTTTGACTCCATGCTGTTACCTATAACTACATTTGGTGGAGTTAAAATAGGCATTTGTGGTAAATAATGTCTACAGTATCTCCAGCCTTGTTTCTTTACTCTTTCTACAATCCCTATTTGCAAGTTTTAAATTTTCAGTTTTTTATTTGTCTTGTTTGCTGGCTTTTTTTATGCTCTACTATGGGCAAATGATTACTTGATATGGTAGCTAACTTTATAACTTTTAATGATAATATACATAGCTAGTAGATAGCTTACATGGTTCATGATGATTTAATGTAGCTATTGACTACTTGATCGCATTAGTTCGAGATGTGAAATGTTAAACTGCAGCTGGAGATTGTCATAGAGATTTGTTTGATAATATAGTGAGCATTTCTAGTTTCTGTGTAACATAATTCTCTGTATGTAATGCATAGTAATGGGTAATTATATGCTTTGACTAAGATACAGCCCCACTAAGCGCGTATAAAATTTTACCAGTAGAAAAGCTTTTGCAAATAAGACACATAAGTCTAAAACATAGCTTTAAATAAACTTTCGTGTCTTCTAAAGTAAGTATTCTACGAATGTGTTTAATAAAATTTAATGTTATGTGTATTGATTTTTTTATTCCTTCACTAAATACATAATATATGGGTTGGCTCTCTAAATATACCATTTATATAGTGTACAAAGTATTTAGTATCTACATGTTACACTCATCTAATGTTCATTTGTTACGTGCTGGTAATACTTGTTTCACCGTGTTAGCTTTTTAAAGGAACACCAGGTATCTGTAAGAAAACTAACTTCAAGGGGTAATGATAACATCATTTACACTAGAATTTGGAAGTTTTTTAGCTTATATAAAATACATAAGAAACAAATCACTCTTCAATACCCCTACGACCTTCGCAGTACCTTATTTAGTATTATACAAAAGGTTTGGGTACAATATACCAAACCGTTTTTGTTGTAGGCTGGCAAGAGAATAATAAGAATTACAAACTGGCTCTTTTGAGTGGATTTTTCTTTCCTTTAGTCTAATATGCGTGCTTTTTGTGCAATTGTTATATATGTACAGCCTTAGCAGTCAATAGTAAATGTTTTAGAATGTTATGTGAACTGAATCTCTGCTGTTAAAGGTGCTTTTTGTCTGAACGTTCTATTAGGTTTTTTTTTATTCCTTGCGATCCCTATTATGAACCACTACCACAGTTCATGATGTATAGGCTTATAACTATCTTCAAGTAAGACAGATAAGTGTTTATTATCACACTTGGATAAAAACAACAACAAAACTCTAATTTATTTTAAGATGTAAAAATTTCTCTGATTAGATCAACTCTTTCGCATACAGTATTAACACATCAGCTCTCTTTGAATTATCGAACGTTTATGAATAAAGATCTATACAGATTTTTCAGTGTTACCGTGGTAGTTCCACGTATAAATTAATAGCGATGATATTTTTTTCTACCTGTGTTTTATATGCTTGTGTATCATAGCGATCAATCCAACTATCTGCCTATTTAATTACAGCTTCATATTTTGACTATTTTAATATTTCTAAAAAAGGTACTTCAGTACAAAAAAAAAAGATTCCAAAACGCTGCTCTATTTCTTAGCCAATATTATGCATGCATATAACTTTCTTATATACTACTGACAAATTTCAATTGAACATTTATATTTATCTTGCTTTGCTACTAGAGGAAAAAATTCATCAGTTTATTCTTGATCTCAGTTTTCCACACTCCATATTATTTTACCTTGCATCACACCACGTGAATGAAGATTTTGTGTTTGCTAATTTATGCTGATTTTTACTTCACTAGGTATAATTCAGACTACCGGATGGCAACTAGACCGGGAAACACAGGAAGAACACATTTTAGAGGTAAAACCGAAGTAAATGTTATTTTTCTGTGTGTGTTTTTGAATGTGGGTAGGTGTATTTAACATCAACTGTTATGCTTTTATATAAGGAATTTTTCTCTTGAAGCTGCTGTGTGAAGTAGAACGGACAGTAATATTTCGTGTTGACTCAGAAGTAAATACGTTTGATAAAAATTCAAATATGTACCACAGAAAATTCGTTTTTTTGAAAAAATCAAGAAGATAAAACTTCTAAAACAAATATACAAAATACCAGGTCTAACATCGAAACTGTTCCTAGAGTTGTAGTGAATGTGAGATCTAACTTCTCAGTTTATTTCCGTATTCCAATGTTTGTATGCCACGTGTATGCAGCTATTTTTTCGGAATCAGTTTTATTGTAACTTCTATAGTTTTGAATTTATTTTTGAAACTTCTTCTACTATAAAATCAAATAAAAAAATAATCATTTTTGCATAGTTTTAATATTTTTAATCTTCGTGTTTCTGATTCTATTTTCCTTTTTCGAAAAGAAATGATTATTTTATGAATATATTTTTACAATTTTATGAATTAACATTCTGTTGATTCCTCAGCGTGGATCGATATAGAAGGATTAAGAGAGATATTATAAAATGAGTTAATCTTTAATATATAAATATTTGTATCTAGTCACACGTAAAGATATATATATATGTTAGATATATATCCTATAAATAAATGTAACTTTTAATACTGAAGTATTGGTGATAGCCGAAGTGAGTATAGTACATTTTGTGAATGATTTATATATTTGGAGAAAGGCATCTTTTTCATATATATGTTTCAATTATATAATTTATCTATGTCGTCTACGTTTTACACAACTTGTTTTTATTATAGCACATCGATCATATTTGTTTTTAATATGGTAAATTTGTGGTTTCTAAAAGTATGAATTAAAATTAATCTGTTCTAAGAGTGTTAAAAGCTGCGGAAATATGAGCCAACTACTTCTAGTAATGTTTGCTATTAATTTTCTAGTTCACTTCTTATGCTGATATCCTTGATCTTTGTAATCCAGTCCCTGGGAATGGGATGCTGTCTTTATATAATATCTGCAAGTAAACCGTTATAATAGAACTTTAATTGTGATGACTCCGACCAAAATTAAACCAATTACATCATCAGTTCTTTGTATCAATGGTGATGACTCTCACCAGAATTAAGTTTAATTACATCATCAGTTCTCTAATTGATGCTAAGGTAATAATGATATACAACCACACAAATGTGCTAGAACCAATGCTGGCTTTAGCGTTATACACTTATCGTCAAATGTCAACCAGGACTAATATATGTAATAACTATAAAAACATATAAATAGATAGGGAACAGTGTGTAAAAAATTAAATGTATTGATAAATATACAGATAATTCAGGTCCAGAGTGTATCTAATGTAGTATGTGCTGTAGATGTAATACTGATTGGAATGCTTCAGTGGCCTTGAATTAAACTGTTCTACACAAAGCACTTAAAGGGCAATTGTAATTCATAATATTTTAGCTATGACAAGGTGTATATGACACGGGTATAAAATAATGTCAATCATTCCTCAGTTTAGGTTTATGCAAATCAGCCTCATGATATTTTAATTATTGTAAGATGAGTGGCCAGCATCTTAATCTTATAAACGAGTCTTTGTAGGTGACTAAGCATTTTTACACTTTATGACATTTCACTTCAAAACAGCAAGAACAACTTCGCACTGACGTTGCTTAAACTCTGATCCCTCTTCTCAAAAAACTGTTTTCGAGACATGTATCGCATTTGGAGTTACTTGGCGGGACACGATGCACCCCATAGCATCTTCCATTAGCATCCTATACGTGTGCATTGGGGTTGAAAGCTGGTGAGCGTGTATGTCATACCATACGGTCAATTTACTTATTATTGAGGGAATGTGTTGACCAGTTCCGCATGGTGGAAGCAAGAATTATCAGTCACTATGCCAAACTCTACGCCAATTTCACCAGCACATGGCAGCACGAAATGCAGTAGGGGATGTGATACCTGTAACACGTGGCGCTGATGGTACATATAGCTTGGTATGTCTATTAACGTTTATTATGAAAATGAAATATAAATTGGTTTCTTATTTTCTCCAAAGGAGCATATGCCCGTGATGAGGATATATTGAGAAGCGTGACTTATTTCTAAGAAATGTTGATCCATGTGTCATTGATCCAGTGGATGTGTTTTTCACAACATTGTAAGCAGCTGATTTGTGCCTTGCTGTAAATGAAACGCACTCCCTTAGAGCGTTGAGTAGAACGGCCTTGTGAAGTTTGTCTCTAGCTGTGGTACACTGACACAACAGCTTATTGCGGCTATAAATATATGATTCAACCTTTGATCTTGTTTCCTGCGATTAAAGTGATCTGAAATTGACAGGTAGAGGTCATATACGTTTGTGTTGTGGGTCATGGTCTGCCTTATTCAGGTGATCTAGCAATTGTACCCTTGGCTTGGAAGCACTATGAGGCAATTGTAAACAATTAACATCAGCCTAATGAGCTAAAATATAATTCTTTAAGAACTAGCTATAAATCGTGTGAATCACTTCAAAGTGAGACAAAAGTATGTAAGGTCATTATATATATATTTATAAAACAGGCTAGATGATCATTTGCATGTATTTCTTATCACATGATTGATCATCAGATATCTGACTTTCATAAGTGTGAACTGAGAGAAGGTTATTGACACTATTTCTTTGCAGTGGTTCTGCCTTATCAAAACTATAATATTATAAATCCCAATTATTTTTAATTGTTTTGGACAATATAAAGTTAGACTTTTCGATATGGTTCAAAACGTCTTGGTGTTAGTTAGTTCAGATTACAAATAAGCTTTAGACGTTCATTTGCATTTAGCATTGATGATTTCTTTGCCGAAAGCGTTAGATATGTTACACTAACAAATAACACTTTCACAAGAGGGCGCTATAATCTAAGTTGTTGTTCGTCGTAACAGGACACTAATTTCTAAGCATCTCAACAAGGCACCAATTCAGTTTTGCTCAGAATTTGCTCTACATTGTTAAGATTATTAATAGTTGTTTAACTTGTTATTTGAATTACAGATGCACAGTAGTAAAAACAAATATTTCTGTTAGTTATAAGTTTAGTTAGTTAACCATTACTTGCTATTGTTATAAGTTATATTTTAAAAGAGTATTTGATCTAGAACAATAGTTTTATTTCACTAAAGATTCATTGACAACAATTCACTCTTAGCTACACATATATATCTACAGAGCAATAATGTGGTAACTATCAATTAACAACAATATATGTAATCGGATTAACCCAGAAAAAAATATTATTGAGAAGTAGGTCACAAATTTATATCTCATGTAGGTATGTGATACATTCATAGAAATTCGTTTTGAAATATTAGTAATCTAGAAAAGACAAGAGAATAATTCCCGAGAAATATTTAGAAATATTTCTTAAAGCAACTATTTTTCAATTTGAGTATCCATTAATCAGTGCAGATTGGCCTGCCCAGATACATCGTTTTATTAGTTTTTGATTTTTTTAATAATATTTCACTATCTAAAAAAAACAAACAAATCCACTCAATCAATTCACCTCGTCTCAATAATTACTATTTTCTCTAAATATATGAAGTTCATCTGGTGAGCCAGTGATAAGTTTACGGACTTCGGCGCTAAAATCCGGGGTTCGATTCCGCGCGGTGGACACAGCAGATAGTCTAATGTGACTTTACACTAAAACAACCACACCAAATATATGAATAAAAGTGGAATGTGCTTTAAGCATTCTGTTTTCGGTTACTTGTTTATGATATACCTATTTTTCATGTTTACTTACACATTTATGTCGCATCACATACAAAAGACAAACAAGTAACGTTTTTGTACAAACTATAATGTTGGAAAGGATTGATGTAGTGGTGGAAATATATAGTCTATCAGACATTGTTTGTAATGTAAGCCTAGCGCATGAATCAGCGTTAGGAATTAAAAAGTTGAATTAAAATAAAAACTATCAAGAGTTAGACATGGGTGCTCACGTGTCTCACACCTAAACTATCAGTTAGTTTCTACAGCCTGTCATTGGAAGCTAGTCGCAACTAATAAAACATATTTTTAAGTAATGACGAATCATATTGTTGAAAATCTTTCTTTCAAGTCATTAAGTTATAAGTATACGTATATATTAAAAAATATTTAGTTTGTTACAAGTTCATCAGTAACTGGATAACAGTATAAAGGTAAGGAAGTCCCAAGAATTTGGAATAAAACTTTTTAACGTCTGACGAGTTCCACTATTCAGATTACCAGTAGAGTTGGGCGATAACCTTTCAACACGACTACTATTTAACAATATGGGTTCATAGCAACTGAATGGCCTTAGCTGCACAACCGAATCAGCAACTGGTCAGTCACGGGTAAGCTTTTATGACAGACAGTCAATAGCAGTAGTTCCTCTAACTTATCGCCTCGAAACAGCGTAGAGTAAATATTATATGAATCAATTGAACGAGGTGTGAGTGAAGGTCTTGCTGACAGATGAATCATGCTTCACATTGCCGATACGAGATGTGTTCACATTTGGACACAGGCCAGATCCAACCATACATGTTTAGGTAGAGATCAGTACTAATGGTAATGCTGACCTTTAGGTGCTACAATATGGATCTATTAGTGACATATGGTATAGGGAAAGTTATATAACCATTAGTTTCATCATATGCTAACTTAGTTTGTCAGAACTTTCTTCTAGTGGATGATAGCATGCACTTCCACCGTGATCAACTGTTTAGCGACTTCATGGAAGATGATAGTGTCTAACAAATGAACTGGACAGCGTGTTCATCGGACTTGAGCCCGATTGAACGCGCATTAAAAAGACGTTCTGCAGTACTTGATTAATCTCCAAGCTGTGTTTATTAACTGGGAGCAACTTTGATGGTGGAGTGAACAATATTACCCAGTAGCTCATTGATTCTTT